CCCAGGAAGCAGCCCGTGACAGCTGGCTAACACCCAGGTACCTATTTTACTGCTAGGTAACAGGGGCATAGGGTGAAAGAACTCTGTTTCTCGCCAGCGCCTGGAGTCGAACCCTGGACCACAGAATCACAAGTCCAGCGTGCTGTCCGCTCGGCCGACCGGTAGCTAATGTCCTTCACAAAACGCTCACTTCAAATATAATATTGCTACCTGGATTAAAAGATGGAAGATTACACCACATTTTCATCTGAAGAAATCCAGGTGATGGCGACTAGAGATGCTGCAACTGGGACACGCATACGGATGAGTGATTGAAACTTAAAACTCGATAGTATTGAAATTGACGTCTCAGGGATGAAGGTTGATTCTTTAGGGACCATGCAAGACAGCTGATCCCTAATCTTGACCCGTTGGGGTTGGTCTGGTGCAGACATCACAGGAGATATGTCATATAAGACCATTTTTTTCACCTGGCCCAACTTTGTGGCTAGCTAGAAGATAGCAACGACAACTCAAGGCGCTCAGCCAAACAATATAATCATTCTGGCTATGTCATTCTTCAACATCACTCCCTTCACGATCATTCATTCCTCGGATGACACGACTTCGGAATATGTTCTCTCAACTTGAAGTCTTATAGATACTCATGAAAGGAAATCAACTAGCTCTGGCACCCAGTTAGTTCCAGCCTTACTCATTTCCTAATGCTGAATGACTGTCTCTTAACAAAAACTAAATCGCATTCACAAGAAAAATAATATACTCATTCAATATAACTTTATTTACGTTCAAGCTTCAAATGAATTAATGTTGGAAATCTGATCTTAACTTTCAGTTTTTATTTAGGAACATCATTTTTGTTTTAGTGGACCCTTGTCTTAGTCATAGAAACTCTCCAAAAAAACAGGAAAGAGGACAGGCAGCAGGATAATAACGAAGGGAAGAAACAGCACAAATTAGAAAAAAGAGAAAGACCTTCCGCTGCTACCAAACCAGCCAATTCTTTTGTGCTCCAAAAACGGACATAATCCAACGTCCTAACCTAACCAGAAACGCACGAACCCAAGCAACTTACCTAACCTAACCAACCCATGCATGGAAAACGAGGAATTTTGAGAATGCTACTTTTCATAGCACGCTGCATTCATTACGCTGGTTACCATAACGTACGATTAACGCCGTAGTGGTTAAGAGGACGGGCTGACCAAACATCGACCACAACACTGCCACACAAGCACCAAACATCCTCACTAAACACCGTACAATCGCTCCAGTTCGCCCATATCACACGTTTCACGCGCAAAACTTAATTCGAAAATTAGTATAGGTCTCAAAAGACGACTACAATTTAGAGTGTTTAAGAGGTACATGAGAGAAGGTGGAGGTGGGAGTGTCCTGGTTGAGGACTCTGAGTCTGGTAGCGTCGCGGCCACACCTGTGACGGCCCCGGTCAATATTGGTGTAAATATGTGATCAAAGAGACAGTACACACCTGGTGTATGGCACACACCTGGTGTATGGCACACACCCGCAGCTCTCTTCGCCCAGGTATATTACTCCTCATCATGTGACAACTATGATATAATATAAAATGTGTGTGTATATAATTATTTTAGTCGTGTGTTATCAAAAAGGGGAATAAGTTAGATTAGTGATTCTGACACGAATCTTCTCTATTTTCTAATGTTCTTTACTTAGGAATGTGCCAAGTGAACTTTATAAGTTCATTTACATTTGGTTTATTGACTCTTAACGCGTGTCATTAAAGCTCACTTTAGCATAATATTAAGCACCTTTTCTCTTGATCTCACGATAACCAAATGCCGTTACCAACATATTTCATCTTATTTCTAAAAGTCGTGCTGAAATCTGTTGATATCGACTCTATGATCAATACTCTTCGTTCACTATTATTCTCTTTATAATCCACTCAAAAGCATAACAAAATAATATATAGATTAACAGGAATATTTTTACAAGACACTATCTGATACAACTTGGGAGCGGAAAAGTCTTCTGAGACGTGTGCAGTTCTTCCTTGAACGTCTTTAAGGCCATAGACAGACCGGTATAAATGTCTTCCGGGAACTGTTTAGTGAGGTTTTATCATCTGGTGTGATACGAGGCCCTCAGATCCGACTTCATGGAACGACAACATCGTTTTAAATGTTTTGAATTGCACTTTTCCTTTTCTCCGAAGACTGTCTCGTATTGCCTTTGGAAACCTAGGAAGAAAAGGTTTCACTCGAATTTTGTCTCGCTTTTTCACTCGAATTTTGTGTAGCTTTTTATTTTTGTTTTCAAATGTATGAAGAAAAGTAGCGAGAAGGTTCCCTGGTGGTGTGTACAAACCTTAAGAAGATTACAGATAAACCACACAATGTAAGCACAGGACCGTGATGATACTGTGAATCATTAAGACTTGCATATACCATCGAACCAGCACTACCGACTTAACCATCATGGGGCTGAGAAGTCACAGTTGCTACAGAGAATAAGAATCACAAACATCCAAGACCTGCACGCACCCTTTGAGACGAAAATCTTAATAGTGATCAACATTCAACAATTTTTTTTCTAGTTGCTTAAAGTCCCTCCCAAGTGTCGGTAATACCTTGTGACAACTGTTTGAGGTGATCTTCAAGATAGTGAACTAATCTCCAGAGTGTCTCTGACGTTTATTAGCTAATTCATGGCGCCTGTGTTTATTATAGTATCTAGTCATAGTGATTCGTGATGGTGAAGAATTGAAGTGGTAGCTGCAGGGAGGGGGGGCTAGGGGGGTACTTGGGTCTGGGGGTTGCTGGGGCAGGGGGGAAGGGGAGGGGGAGGCTGACAGTAGATGGGGGGTGGCTGGGTGTAGCTGCGACAGATGTGCGGGAGGGGACGGATTTACAGGGAGCAGATCTCGTGCTATATTTAATTCCCCTTTTTTATTACACCATACGACTACGCTTTCCTTAACCCTCCTCCTCCTCCTTCCCTCCCCCCCTTCCCCCCCTTCCCCCCCCCTTCCCCCCCCTTCCCCCCCTTCCCCCCCCCCTCCCCCCCCCTTCCCCCCCCCCTTCCCCCCCCCCTTCCCCCTCCCCCTTCCCCACCGTCCCCAAGATCTTACACAACTAGTGACAATAATATATGTGATCCACCTGTTAGGCTCCTTCACTTCCTCTTCCTGTGTTCTCTTCTTATTTCACGTCAATATTATATTTTTCTCCTCTTCCGTTCTCTTTTATGCCTGGCACTCTTCCCCCCCCCCTCACTTTTGCTCTTCCCTTAACCTTCTCTCACGCTTCCTCCTCGTCTTATCTTACTCATTCCTCTCGCCTTATCTAACTCTTCTTTCACTCATTTTCTTACCATCTCCCACCCGTCGCTCTCACCATCTCTCACTCGTCCCCCTCACCATCTCTCACTCGTCCCCCTCACCATCTCTCACCCGTCCCCCCTCACCATCTCTCACCCGTCCTCCCTCCCCCCTCACCATCTCTCACCCGTCCCCTCACCATCTCTCACCCGTGACCGTCACCATTTCTCCCTCTTCTCTTCACGTTCTAATGATTCTACTCAATTATCAATTTATTGCTTTCTCGCTGTTGTTGCACAGTTCAACTCGCTTCATAAAAAAATTCATACGACTAAATTCCAATTTCGAAAAATAATCCTTATTTCTAAAGTAGTAAATACATTCTTGCATAACAATTTTACAAGCTTTTGAAATACAATTTTTTATTGCCTGAAATTTCAAATTTGTTCCCATTTTATGTCTGATAATTTTTATTCATTTTTATTTTATTTCCTAAAGTTGTACTTATTTCGCGATATTTTGTTTTGTTTGTTTAATGCTTTATCTACAAAAGTCATTCTTGATATATTTAATGGGATTAATTAAATGCTGAAATGCGAGGACAGATTTATTTTTCGTATTGGTGATGTGGTAGACGGAATGTTTGTAAATATGTGAAGTTATTTACGTTGAAGGGAGGACTAACGAAGACTTTGAATGGGTTGGAAAACACCGAAACTTTTATCTGAGGTCGAGAGAAAAGTATTATGTGATATTTTGTGAGAGTACTCGAATGTCTTGGTTCTGTTGAGCAGTGGTGGTAGTGGTGGTGGTGGTGGTGGTTATCTACCAGTACTTACATGCCAACTACAAGTGTCTACGGGAAAATGAGTTCATTTCTTTCCGAGAAAATGAGTCTGAGCTCCGCAAACTGGGACACAGAAACTGAAACTTGCGAAGCGTAAATAGGTGAGCACACACACACACATACACCTTCGAGTCTCCTAACGTCTTTAAACTGCCTGGTAGTTCTCTCCTTACATTACCCGACTTGGAACGAGATAATAATCTGCCTTCGCTACCTCTAGTAGCGAAGGCTATAAGCCATTGGTAGTTTAGCGAGGTTTTTGCCGGTTAAAATAATCGCTTCAATGTCTCTCATTACGTAATTAAGTAATTCTACACCTGGCAACACAAGCACAGTTTACTAGGTCCATCAGCTGATTGCCTCCGCTGTCTCTACATCACCTGACAGCTGACATTGATGTATAGAGGAGTCAGGTATACCGTCATGTATGTTTGTTACACCTCGGTGGAGGAGGGGGGGGGGTGTATTTTCTCACACCTCACAACAGGGGGAAGGGGGGGGGTGTATGTATTCATACCTCACCCCCTACCAGGAAGGGAGTGTATACCGCTTTGGCTCCACTCACCACTGACAGTATTTTAGTAAGCATGCCCACACGCTGTCACACGCCACCTCCCCTACACAAGGCGTGGGGAATACCGCGGGAGCCCTTAGAAATACGTGTCATCATCTAACACGTTTCTCTGGCATGATCAGCTGACAAAACAACATGGCGTTTGTCATCACTTGCTGCGTCCGATGGTAACATTCCCCTGTGAAACTCGTAGTGACATTCGTAGATCAATTACGCATAAGTGACTCTACCGCTGTAACTCATGACCTTGACCTGACCTCTGGTGCTCCTCGCAGATGATGGGGAAGCGTGATCACGACCAGGAGCAGGAGGCTTTAGATTGGATCTTCACGGTGCTGGGAGAACCCGTCCCCCATGGAGACTTCGGAGACGTCCTTCGGGACGGTCAGGTGAGTCCCTGTAGCTTCTGTTTGATGCGTGTCTTGAATGCTTGTGTTTTGTTTATGCAATGTATTCTTTCCACGATGTTATGTAGGTGTTGCATAGCTCGGTTCTTCACTCCGAGTCCCCTTCTGAGGTTTAGTCTTGTTCCATACTGTGGTTCTCTCCTGTTCTGTGTTTTTGTTCTCTAATGTGTCAATTTTGTTCCAAAATATGTTTAGTTCTTGGTCTACATTACAATTTGTCCTTATTCAACAATATCTATGTCCGTGTTCTGCAAAATACATTGTTATTGTTCTAAGCTAAAGTAATTCCTTACTCTCATGATTCAGTGAGCTGTCGTTCCAGTCAGATTATCCGTGTCTCAACGTTAACTCTTATCCGATGGCTTCACTGTTCTCTATTGTTGATTTTTCCTAGCTAACAAAATGTCCGCAAGAGGAAGAAAGATATAACTTTTAAAAAATAAGAGAGAATTCACATGAAAAATTTCACATATTTATGTAATCTGCGAAAAATAAGAGGACTTGCGTAATTATCTCAAGGTTAGGTATTCGACAGATCATGTTCGTGACCACTTAACCTCAACTGAGGGTCATCCTTCCTTCTTAATATTGGAAAATCCAGAGTAGTTAGATTTTCCAGATTTACTCTGGATTTTCCGTTTCTGAAAATCCAGAGTAAATCACGTACTCGCCAGCACGCGAGCCTCTATGTTCAGATTATGATCAGACTCTGTGACCTGTGTATATTGTGCATTCTGACATGGTAGTGTGTGTGTGTTGAAAGACTAATACGTATGAGGCGAAGAGTGAGAGTTGCGCAGTAGACCGTGCGTGGAGGTGATTACATATCCTTACTCACTGGATGAGTCAGGCTGGTGATGAAGGTTTATTCCCGAGGGAGGAAAGGGGGTGCCTCATGGAAGATATTTGGCATACTAAGATTTGTCCTTGCCTGTTATTTGCCCGTTTTTGCTGTGTATGTATGTATGTTGTTTGTGTATGTATGTCTGCTCATCTTTTTTTTGTCTGCCTGAATGCCTGTATCCCAGCCTGAATGGCAGTCTGTATGCCTTCCTGTCTACCAGTGTTTCAAGTACCGCTCACCTGACTGCCCTCTACCCTCGGCAGGTGTTGTGTCGACTCATGAACAAGCTGTCTCCTGGCTCCATCCCCAAGATCAACAACTCAACCATTCAGTTCAAGATGATGGAGAACATCAACAAGTAAGTTCATCTCTTCCTCACCTGTCAACCAGAGGCACACCTTATGCCAAGAGACGCTGAGCTTGCAGATGCACGACAATTTGGAGGCAATAGCAGTGACAGAGCACTGCCATTATGCAGTGAAGTGAATAGCACTTCCATACCGTCCAACAGTAGGGAAGTAGACTTGCTTTTTAGTCACATAATACCCCCAGCAAACACCAGGGGTTCCAGGTGTTTAGGCAACAGAAGCAGCCTAAACATTGTGGAGAAGGCAATGACATTTGGCATAAAAAGCGAGAGCAAAGATCATAATACTTGGGGACTTAAATCAAAGAATAATTGATTGGGCAACGTTAGATCTGTGCGGTGGGGAAAATATGGATTTCTTTTTTTAGTTTAGTTCATTTATTATGCACCCCATACCCATTTTGTGGACGATAATGGAAAAATGAGTTTGTTTGAACCGTCAGTGGGGTTGACGAGTGACCACTCATCAAGCACGCTACCTAAGCTGCCAGTCTCTCGCATTGGTTCCTCCCATCAACTCAGCTTGAGAGCTGCGCCTACCCTCCATATAGGGGACCCATCGCAAAGCATTTGTGATCCACACTTAGTTGCCTGAAAGTTACCGTTGGTCACTTACTCTGAGGAATCCGGTAACCACCGAACGTGAAGAACTTGACACACTCAATAGTCTTCACTCTTGTTCGATGGGGAAATAGCATAATGATATGCTCTGACATAGGGAAAACTTAAAGTTGCCGGCAGCAATACCCATCGACGTCTGCACCGCCGGCGTACGCAGTAACTCTTGACAAGACCGTCAGCCTACTATGCCCATCAGAGTTGACCTGACTTCCACATGTAGTGGAAGACTTGACCACCAGAGTCAACCCCCAAAAATGCCTCAACTCCAAGCGTAGTTCGGATCAACGTTCAATCAGCAGATGGGAGAAGCCTTGAAAACTAGGTCAAGAGGTCAACCGAGCACATCTTTTCCTCGCGAGAGCTAAAGTGACCCCTGCACTCTAGCCAATCAGGCTCGTCGGCGATGCTTGCGACATGCTTCTAAGTGCCGCTTCATTGACTGTGCACCTGGTGCTCAGCCAGTCACAAACCACCAAGGGCCTTCACCACTCGTATTGGCCCAAAATCAGATAGCATGATGTCTTGGCGAACGTGACGTCACAACAATTGGCCCAAACAATAAATTATTTGCAAAAACACAAAAATAGCATCCTAGTACGTTAATCAGTCCATCCTAGAACAAGTAAAATATTTGTCTGCGGGTATCTATTTTTGCTTCGTGTGTGTGTGTGACTCATGATGGGAAGTGGTGCTGCCACTGTCTGCTGCACCGTGACACGTCTCGTCTGTACCGTCACCGCTGTACCGTCACAGCTGTACCGTCACAGCTGTACCGTCACAGCTGTACCGTCACCGCTGTACCGTCACCGCTGTACCGTCACCGCTGTACCGTCACAGCTGTACCTTCACAACACCCATCGCAATACTTGACACTGCCGCACCATACAGTGCAGTAACTCACACTGCAGACACTCTGCAGACACTCACACTGCAGCGTGAGTTCCTGAATTGTATGGTGCGGCAATGTGAATTATTGCGATGGGTGTTGTGGAGGAACAACTGTGAAGATAAAATAAAAAAAAACATCAATAGCCCGTAAAATTGATAATATAGAAGTTAAGAATATATATATATAAATTTCATCTCGCCTGTGTGTATCCTTAAAGTGAGGCCTACCTCTTCTTTCCATGTTTTTCTTGGCTCATATTCTTAGTAATTTGTTCATTCTTCTTCTAAGGTGCCACCAACACTCTAACCTTTCCCAGCTGCTTATTGTAATTATTGCTCACATGCAAAATCCAAACATTGAGAGCTTCTCCATCTCAATTTTCCCAGCACACAGCTTTCTTGAGTGGATTTTTGTCCCTCTTGTGTCTTTGGAAAATCGCTCGAGGTCTGACCACTCAAGATGGTCGTCAAAAGCTGTTTGAGATTAGAAAATATCTTTAAATAAACCAACTTCAGATAACGCTTTCAGCGTCTCTTTTGCTCTGTTTGATTTTATTAGTTCTCCTCCACTTTTCTATCTCTCATATTCTTATTGCCTTATCTCCTCCTGTGCGCCTTCCCTGTATTCCAATGCCTTTCATTTCTGATTTTTTATTCTCTCGCAGTTATTATGTTTTCTTCGTTTGGGTTCATTTCTTGTCAGTGGTTTCGTATTTCGTCAGTTCCGTTTTCTATAATTCGGTGTCCTAATGCCTCTCGGACTGTTATTTGGTGTTGGGAAGGCTCCGGAGAACGGTCTGTCCTAATACCACAAGCTGCCCCTTGCAAGCTCTCTCTCTCTCTCTCTCTCTCTCTCTCTCTCTCTCTCTCTCTCTCTCTCTCTCTCTCTCTCTCTCTCTCTCTCTCTCTCTCTCTCTCTTTGAGAGTCCTCACTGTGCAGAGTCGGGCAGAGTTTTGTTTACCCTGATCCCTCTGTTCACCTAGCAGTAAATAGGTACCTGGTAGTTAGACAGCTGCTACGGGCTGCTTCCTGGGGGTGTGTAACAAAAAAGGAGGTCTCGTCGAGGACCGGACCGTGGGGATGCTAAGCCCCGAAATCATCTCAGGATAACCTTAATTAAGATAGATCTTGCTCTCACTCTCTATCTCTATCTCGCGCACCTTTGCTCTTTCTCGCTCTCAGTCTATCACACTCTGAATCGCTCTCCCAATCTCAATCTCTCTATATATTTCTATCTCGCTCTTTCTGTTTGTCTCTCACTCTCTCTGTTTCTGCCTCTATAGCTATATATCTCTCTCTCTATCTCTAGTCTCTCTCTCGCTCTCTCGTTCTGTCTCTCACTTTCTCGATTCACTCAGAGAAGTAACACTCAAAGAGAACAACTCAACCCATCTACAATAATGACCTACATAGACGAAAATGTTAGTGACATGATTAATGACAATGATTACAATGATTAATTTTTCGTTCAACGCCAGATATTCCTAACTTCCCCAATCGGTCCGGCCAGCCCCGTTCTCTTGATTCGCCACTCCGTAAAAAAGTCTAACGTCCCCAATCTAACCTAACCAGAGACCTACGCACCCAATCACCTCACCTATAACCTATCGAGTACGATTCGTAGAAATCGTAGATATTCGTGAACCGTTACTTAGTAGATGTATTTTGTAATGTTGGTTACCATAACGAGCACAATAACACAACCTGTTAGTTAAATGGACTGGTTAAGACATTCCCAAATGACCTTCTTAGGAAGGTAATCTTATTTTATTAAACACGTAAAGGAAACACAAATATTCAAGAAAATATATGAAAAATGATTAGAAGTAAAAAAAATCATTAGTGTTAACTATCGTAGGAATCCTTGCTACTGATAACAATTTGTTTTATCTTTGTTATCTAACAAATGTAATTTTCGCAAGCTTACTGTTGAATTTCCGAGAATCCAGTGATAATTCAGCTTCAGAGGAGCTTGGCAGAGTATTGATATATTGCCGAGGCTGACCCCCGAGTTATTCTTAGAATTTGGATCAAAGGTCAAGGTGACCCGATCTTCATCAAGTAACTAATATAATAACTGCCTTGTCTTACCTTATTTTTTCTCTCAAGAACCAAAAAGAATTTATTGTATCAAAGTTAAATTGATATCAATTTGATGTACTTTAAATTTTTATTGTTCATGTATGTATTTGTATAATAATGTATTTAGCTGTATATAATTGCATATAACTGTCATTATATATGACGGTATATATCACAGTATAAAACTGTACATTACTGAATACGAACGAGGAGTGATAATGTTGTTTGTGTCGACAGCTTCTCCGCTGCGATGAGACAGTATGGAGTGAGCATCCAAGACCTCTTCCAGACGGCCGACCTCTTTGAGAAGAAGGACCTGGGAACCGTCTGTACCGCTCTCTTCTCCCTTGGACGAGCGGTAGGTATAGCCTTGCCTGACCACCCGGCGTCTACCCTTCCCCTGGTCACCCCCTCCTCCAACGACTCACAAGTCCCTCTCCCCACGTCACCTCACCACATTCCCCACCCAAACTTGCCTCCAAAATTCCAAGTTGAATAAACCCGCATTAAACAGAGGAAAATGTGGCGGGAAATCTGTCAGCGGACTTGAGCATTTCCAGAAGTTCCTCTCGTCAGGTCTTTAATGGTCTATTGTTGCAGCATACTCGTTGCAAGGCCTTCCTATTTCTTCAACTCTTGAATTGTATATTCCTGCAACCACGGTTCCACTCGCCGTCCTCCTTTGACCTTGTTCCCCTCACCATGCTCCCCTCACCATACTTTCTCACCATACTTCAGCTGAAGTTGTCATTTTTGACAGTTACCACTTTTTTTATCTTTTTCATTCATCCCCTCAGCTCTACCATTTTACTATCCCCTCTTACATTCCCCTTTCTTCCTTTTCTCTATCTCTCTCTCTCTCACTTTCTCTCTCCCCTTCCACGCCCCTTTTCCCTGCCCCTCCAAATCCCAGCTCAGGTGACCACGCATAAGCCAGGTGGGGTTGCTATCTATGGGACAATTTGTATCTGTGGTCTTGTGCCTGTCTGTGTAGGTGTATGTGGGTGGAGTATGGAGGTGTGAGGGGTGTGGGGTGTGTGGGGTGTGTGGGGTGGGCGTGGGAGTGTGTGTTTGGGTGCTGTGTCTTCTATTTTCGTCTGTCGTTGCTCATTTGTCCGGCTCTTTATCGTGGTTCATCTGTTAACTGGCCTGTTTCTCTTTGACTCTGCCTCTGATTTGCATTTGTTATTTTTATTTATGTTAAGGTGTGCCATTCACTGTGTTTGGCACCACAAATTACAAGCTTGCGTGGCTTTATTTGGTTGCGTGGTTCCGTTATGGGACCCCATTAGACACCGTCCTGTAAATGTGATTGGATGTCATTGAAAAGGGCACCAAATTTTTAAGTTCTGAAATTTAGGTGGGAGGTTTTTGCAGTATTAAATACTTATTTCAGCGAAGAGGCCAATTAGATAGTTGAATAGTAATAGTTAAGTCTGGTTGATTGCTGAGCAGTATTAGTCAACTTATCATATCATTGCTACTTTATTCAGTTCTAAAGCTAAATTTAACTGGAACTTGGAAAGGAGGAGTTCAACCGCTTAAATATAATTCATCGAAATATTTTGTTTATAATATTGGTAGAGTTGATATTGGTCTTTAATTGTTTGACAGCTGTCCGAAAATGTCTGCAGTTTTTTTTAATATTATAGGGTCATGTATTTCAGTGGTCTACGTTCTCGACTCAAAAGCGGAAATCCAGCGTTTAAGCTTCGAGTGGAACAGAAATGGGTTGGCATGTTTCCTTTCATCTGATGCCACTCTTCATCTAGCAATAAATAAGTACCCTGGAGTTAGGGAACTGTTGCATCTTGGTGAAGGTCAGTAGCTCGACCTAAGGAAGACCTCCGTAAGGCTGAGTACGAGCGTCATGTCTCCAATAACGGCAATTACTTCACTAGTGTCACCGGCTTGGGTTTTGAGTCAGTTGGTTATGGAGATGTTGTCCAAGGGGTTGCTATACAGTTGGTGTTGTGAGTTGGGAAGGCTGCCGGCGAAATGTGTAACACAGAGGTTTCCAGATAACTGAGGTTATTGCTGGCTAGGTTATTTCCAATTGATGAAAATAGTTATTGAATTTTGGATTCTATTTCCACCTCCTTGACTTCATATCCCCCCAGTTCCTTGACTTGATATCTCAACGTCTCGATTTGATATCCCAGCTCCTTGTCCTCGTATTCCCTACTAAGTGTTATACAGTAATTCCTGCTTAGCGCTGTCTCTTCATAATTACCTCACCATACTCTTAATCTGACGCCAGGGTTCTACAATCTTGTAAGAGCTTGATCAGTGTGATGTGCGTAGATGCCTTGCATGGGCCAATAGGCCTTCTGCAGTTGCCTATATTCTTGTGTAGTCATCGTTGCATCTCTCCTCCCGACAGACGTACCTGCACCCAGAGTGGCCTGGTCCCTGGCTGGGTCCTCGCCCCGCAGAGGAGAACAAGCGCGAGTTCTCGGACGAGGTGCTGGCGGCTTCAAAGACGGTCATCGGACTGCAGGCGGGCTCCAACAAGGGCGCCACCGCATCAGGCCAGAACGTGGGAGCCCAGCGCCGCGTCATCATCGGAAAGTAAGGCTCTTAGGGGAGGAAACTAGCAGCCGGCAGCCACAACACGGACTTCAGCTACCGGCACACATCGCTCGGATTGTCGCTACCGGCAAACACCGCCCGGACTGTTGCTACCAACTAGAGCACTGTCACGCCTCACCTCCTGTCTGCCTGACTCCTCCTCCATAGCATTCACCAGTATCTACACAGTACCTGCAGTGCTTTTATTGATCTGTTCTGTTGATAAAGTTTATCCACAAGTGAAACTTATTTATTATTGCGTGAAATAGTTCATGCTGTTGTCTTTATTAGACACGCTGCATTATTCCAGTAGTCCCTTGGGACAAAAGACTATTGACTAGATCTGGAGAAGTTGTAGTGTAAGTGTGACAGTTCCCAGTATGGTAACACTGGCCCGGATGATGCCATTACCAATTGTTCATCAACGAACCTAAAATAGAAAATAATAAAGCCTTTGGATAAAAATATTTTTTATGCAACCAATTTTGATGGGAGTTACTGACGTATATAGATAATTTTAGCCTATATTACAAATATTGCTGCCAAATAAAATCTACCGCACGTCACTCGTAATCTGAGAAAACACGATAATATATAATTCTGCAAAAACAAGGTGATCATGCTTTTGTTTTTCACTTTTTAAAAAGACATTTGAGCTCAAACAACGTGATCACAGGGACCCTTTAAAACATTGAAACAAAATCAACACGACCACATGGACCCTCCAGAACATTTAAACAAGAGCAACACGACCACATGGACCCTCCAGAACATTTAAACAAGAGCAACACGACCACATGGACCCTCCAGAACATTTAAACAAGAGCAACACGACCACATGGACCCTCCAAAACATTTGATAAAAAGCAACATAACCTCGCGGCCTGAACAATGTAAGATGTGCTGTAATTGACAGCGAGTATACTCAGGCCGCCACTTTGTGTAAACTACTGTAAACTGTTTCTTGTGTTATTTGGCTAATCAATAAATTAATCAAAGGTCCTTTGTGTCTTTTACCCTTTTCACCGAGGTATCATCACCCAACCCGTCCGCGGACCAAGTCCATTCTATCCAGAGGTCGACCTAAAGACGCATCCATCAATTTTAACATGCTGTTCATTCAAAACAGGAATTTTCTCAAATATAAATTAATGTTATTTTATATTACCATATTGTACATATTTTGGCCCAGATTAAGCTAGGTGTTTAGTTTCTGTTGGCGATTATTTGTAGCTGCAACCCGTCCTCGACTCAAGTCCATTACATTCAGCGGTCAACCCCACAGACACATTCATAAATTTTAACATGCTGTTCATTCAAAACAGGAATTTTCGCAAGTATAAATTAATATTATAATATATTAGCATATTGTGTATATATAGGCATAGGATAGGTTAGGTTAGGTGTTTAGGTTCTGCTGGCGATTATTTGTATTTGTAGTACGTGGGTGAAGCATTTACAGCGTTGTGGTTCGAACAAAATTCGTCAGTGAAGCACTTGTTCCGGATATGTTCGAACGTCAGCAGTTGTGAGTCGTGTGTAAACCGCTTTTCATTCATAAACAGGGGGTTTGGTGGGTGGATGGAATCACTTTTGGATCTTTGTTTGGAGGACGGGCTGGCGGATTTGAGTCGAGGACGGGTTGTGCATGGGATGGACTTTGGGTCTTTGTTTGGATGACGAGCTGTGGCAGGAGCCAATGCGAGTGACTAGATTCACAGTTACAGTCGCATTCGGTACACCAGTGAAAGTGTTTGATCCTCCCCCCAAAAAAATCAGGTAAGGAAACTACTGACTGTTAATCTTTCAGTCATTTTAATTGTTTTGTAATTTGGACATTCTTAATAAAGGATTTCACCTTTATTAAGATTTAACATTTGAATTTGGTCTATATAAATTTTAACCTGTGCCTCGCAATAGATGTTTTGAAGCCACTTTTGCTAATGCAAACGTGATTTATTTTCTCACATTAAAGTTCATAATATTCAATAAAATATATATGACGTTATTTACTTTTGTTGAAGAAAACCAGTCACGCGCAGTTATGTTTATATAAGGGTCTCGGTAATGCAATTGGCTTCAGTCTAGACTCATAATCGGGAAACCCGGGCGGGACAGAAATGGTTGGGCACGTTTCCTATCACCCAATGCCTCTGTTCACAAGGCAGTAAATAAGTACTTGGGAGGTAGTCAACTGTTGTGGGGTTGGATCCTGGGGGAGGGCGGTCAGTACCTCGACCCTGTAAGTACCTGGACTTGGATTCATAAAGCAGTTACGCAGCACTTTCGAACACAGGGGCCAGATTCACGAAGCAGTTACGCAAGTACTTACGAACGTGTACATCTTTCCTCAATCTTTGACGGCTTTGGTTACATTTATTAAACAGTTTACAAGCGCAAAAACTTCCCAATCAGCTGTTGTTATAGTTATAAACAGCCTCCTGGTGCTTCGGAGCTCGATAACGGTTTAATAATTGTAAACAAAGCCGCCAAAGATTGAGAAGATGTACAGGTTCGTAAGTGCTTGAGTAATTCCTTTATGAACCCGGGTCATAGGATCCTGCCTCTCCTCGACAAAATAGGTTATTATTACGCCTGATAGGCCTCTGCATCAATAGTGCCTGCGTTATCCGCTAGGCGGCGCACAACTAGAGAAGAGTCACTTTAAACAGTCTTCAGTTACTCTCTAATTCAGTTTCCAGCTGTTTACTTGTGAACAGTAGCGTGATAACTAACCCTTTCTGAAAAATAATATAATGATATAAATACAATATATTACTACTCCTCCTCCTCCTCCTCGCATCTCATTAAGGAAATACAGACTCTCTAGTTCTCAAAATAAGCTCATTAGTGTAATAGTTTTTAATAACTAAGTGGCAATTAAACTTAAAACCCATAAGTAGGCTTCCGAGCTCACCGTCTTGTGGTGTGTTTGTTTGTTTGTGAATTTTATGTGTATGTTTTGAATGGTGTTTTTTGTTGAGTTTGATTTTTCTATGCATAAGACAGACATATAATACGGACAGCCAGATATGCAGGCGTGGTCTAGTGGAGAATGTCCTCGACTCGTATTAGAGAGACCCGGGTTCAGTCCCCCAGCCGGGACAGATACAGTTTAGGCAACGTTTCCTTTCACCTCATGCCTTGTATATATTGAGAATATAGGTCGGGAGTCGGTTCATCAGACATGTGAAGGTGGGATCGAAGAGCTCGATCCTGCAAACGCACACGCACGCACGCTCGCACGCGCGCACACACGCACACACACGCACACGGGCACACACACACACACACACACACACACACACACACACACACACACACACACACACACACACACACACACACACACACACACACACACAGAATGTGCTAAAAGTTAAGTTGTGGAGGAAGACTTCATACGCAGCTTATCATGTAGATGTGACAGACTATTAACCCTCGAAGATGTTCACCAGTTGAAGTCAAAGATAACAAGATTAACCCATAGCTCACCATGTTGTTATAGATTCAGCTACTCGGAACAAGTTCCAAGTAGCACGGGCTATGTTGAGCCCGTAACTTACCTGGCACAGGAGCGGGGCAAGTAGCAGGGGCTCTGGTGAGCCCGTAGTGAACTTACCTGGCACAGGAGCGGTGCTGTCATATACATAGTTCACCAGATGCAAGAAAACTAAGTACGGGAAAGAGAGAAACAAACACGGAGGTAGTGAGGAGGGCCACTAACAAGTACACTAGAGACAGGAGAGAAGCAGAGAGGCAATTTGAAAATGACAGTAGTAAAATCAAAGGCACGCAAAATAATGGTAAAGGCTCAAATTATCTAGCTGGGAAGAGGAGATGAACTCACAGGAAATGACAAAGAAGTCTGTGAGGAGTTAACAGAAGGTTCCAGGAGGTCTTCAGGACGTAAGTGAAGTGGAACTTCGACCCGGTCAACACCAGTCGAGGAAATGAAAGAAAACGTATTACCGTTTCTGTTAGGGCCGGAAGCTGAACCCAGGTCCCTTAATTGTGAACCGAAGTTTGTATTTGAGGAGAGGTAACGAATCAATTGATCGACTTGGACTCTTCCAATTTCAATTTGATGCATGAATTTCAAGACATTTGCCTATTTGATGCAGGCCTCCTAGTCATGATTCATAGTTTTATTTTATTCAAATTTTGCAATCTCAACATTATCCGGCTGATATCTCATAACACTATCATCATTAATTAGCCTCAGAACCCGATACTTATCTCTATTAAGCTTCATCTGTCAATCTTTCGTCAATTTCAAAGGCAATCAAGATCGTGTCTAAGCAATTTTGAATATTATGAATTTATTTTTTCAATTTGTATATCGCCTGCAAATCTTCGGAGATTGATATTCATTCTTGGATCTAAATCTTCCGTATATAAGGCAAACAAGAGAGGTCCCGGGAGTGAGCCTTGAAGCACTCCACTTACGTCGGTTTCCCACTCCGAATTAATTAATACCATGTATACTAGCGCTTTGTGTCCTTTAAAATAGCTATGCCCGTATCCAACTTAGGACAGTGCCCCCATGAGCCTGTAACATTCTAATCAGTCTTTTCTGAGGCATAGTATCAAAGGCTTCGTTAAACGTTAAGGTACAAGTCGCATTCCTACAGGTACACATGAGTCCATTACTGATACCAAGGGATAATAAAGATAATAACATCGGCAGCATATATAAAACTGGCAAACTTAGAAATTGCATTTAATAACCTAACCAAGTGATCATCCAGGAGGATATAGAAAGCTTATGGGACGCCAGTACTAGAATATATAGCACCAGTGCGGGACCCGACCCTTGGGAAGCACACGAATATAATATAGAATGTCTAGAGATTTGCTACGCGACAGAGAAGTCGAGTTATGTGGACATGCCATGAGAAGCCAATTTAGCCACACTGGATTTTAGCTGATATGATCACGAAGTATAAAATACTGAGATGAATAGGTGAAGTAAATAGTCCTTTTTTTCGGGTGAGGGAGGCAGATCAAAGGGACTCAACCCGGAACCGGAAACATAAGTGAACTAGAGAATCGTAAGTAAATACTCGTATTCAGAGAAGGCGATAACCAAGCGTTATTTGTGATAACCACTGTGTACCACAGTGTAACAACGACCTCTGCACTCTTAAAGCAGAGGTCGTGGAAGCCACCTCGATACTTAGCTTGAGCAGCTATGGCTCATTTGAACGACAGGAAGTGTAAACGCTTCAGGAACTATACATGCTGAGAGGCGGGGCTATAGAGCTAGATCTCGCTCGATGCAGAGTTAAACACACACATATAAACGCCGACAAATACGAACCTCCAAATGCAAACAGGCAAACAAACAACAAATACAATTGAGAGAGTAAATAGCGGGTGTAAATGCTAATGGCTGACCGAAAAGTAATTAAAGTTAGCGTGCAGCAACTTCTTTCATTATTAAAAGTTGCTCCCACTGACTCAACTCAGGCACTTTTGGCGACACTTGATGCCCTCCCCCCCCCAACTCCACCCCAACCCCACCCCAGTGCTCTCCTTCCCTCTCCCACAGGTCCAAGACTGTCGTTAACTACCCTCCCTCCTTCCCTCCCTCCCTCCCTCCCTCTCACCCCCTTCCTTCTTCCCTCCCTCTCGCCCCCTTCTTTCCTCTCACCCTTCCTCCTTCCCTTTCATCCCCTTCCTCCTTCCCTCCCTCCCTCCTTTCCTTCTTCCCTCCCTCCCCTCCTCCCAATTCCTCCCTCCCAGTCCCTCCCACTCTCTTTCTCCCTTCTTCCTTCCTTCCATCTTCTTCCTCTTTCCCTCTCTCACTCTCTTTCTCCAGGTACTATTGCAGGAGTAATAGGAGTGGGAGGAGGACAGTGTACTAATTAAAGAAGAACTGTGAAAGGGGGAGGAGGGTGTTGCAACACACTGAGGAGGAGGAGGAAGAGGGGGGAAGGAGAAGAAAGGTACTGCAACACACTGGTTAAGCAGAAGGGCAGGAGAGGAGGGCGTGACAA